TGCCATAACCTTTTCCATATCCCATATGCATATATATACATACATATATACGCGTATATAACGTCGTTTGAATACATACATATATACGCGTATATAACGCCGTTTGAATCCTATTTTAGCCACTGTGGGCAACATCATCATCATATACCAACTGATCAGGGGGTAATGCGTATATAACGACGTAACCTTTTCCCATATCCCATATACATATATTTACAAATATACGCGTATATAACGCCATCTGGTCATGGGTCAATGCACATGTACGAAATGCATGAAAAATACGTAATAATCTCAATATTCCTTCCGGATAAATTTTTCCAACTGTGTATTATTTTGAGACCCATGAACAGAAGAAAATAATAATTCTCATGGGGAATCAAGAATATAGACACCCCTACTACTTCTATAAATAGAATAATTTATATAAACCGTGTATTTGCTCGTTTCTTTCGTATAATCTAGACCATGCCAAAAGAAAGAAGGGAGGGCCTTAACATACCTGGTTCTTGAATTATTTAACTGAATCTGCTTCTTGCGAAATTTGCACTGGATATCCTTAGAATTTTGGAGCGATCTTGGCTTGGTTTTGAAATGTTTGGACGAAAGGATTCTTGTTCTTACGTTTTTTTGAAGCTATTGTTTCCAAATTATTGATTTCAATTCAAAGAGTGAATTGAATCTTCTGATTCTCGTTTTTCTATTTTCAGGAAGTATCCAATGGATCCTAAATTCTATATCATTCAAGACTTATGTTAAGTCAATGAGTCTTTCTACAAAATGACTCATTTTAATGGGTTATGGAGGGATTTACACGTGATATACCTATGACCAAGAGTCATATGTTTAATGATGGCACACTGCCACGTGGGGAGTAGGGTGGGTTATTTTATTAATTTTTTTATCCACTTATTAGTTAATCGGGTAATGTTTCGTTACCCGGTAATTAATCTATTACCCACATAATTTTAAAATACCACAAATTACTTAAAATTCTATTTATTTTCAAAATACTTCATATATACTTTATATATTATACTACCGTGGTCACATGGTACCTTGCATGGTACTAGTTTATAATTTTTGGGTATTATCGCTCGACCCGTATTTTATTCCAAATTGTCCACTTTCAACGAAACTTGTTTTCGTTAATCCACGTACCCCTTTATCCCTCATAACACTTATTTATTGCTTGTTAATACGTTAACATCAAGATGATCTCCTCCCCGATTCTACGTCAGTTGACCGAAGACGAAACTTTTAACGTACGAAAATGCGAGATGTAACATAATCCATCCACCATTTTGGGTTACTCTAACTCCAACCAGATCCTGATATCCCATATTTCTCTTAAATAATATTTGTTAGCTCCCATACGGCATAACTGAGATAGGTGTGGCCAATTGTATAGATATCTGTTATTGTTGAAATTAACTTATAATACTTATGTTTCTCTGCCTGAATTGTAAAAACTAATAATCTTCACTAACTGGATACCTCGTACCCTTCTTCACCTTGCTTCTTTTGCTTATTGAAATTTGTATCTACCTTCTGACTCTCTTATTGTTTTTTACCATATGGGTGGATAAATATTCATGCTTTAGGGCTCCTTATCAAGAAGCTCACACATCTTAGTACACACATGATCTGCTGAAGACCTTACATTTACTCATCATAAGCATGATACAAAATCGAGTTCTTCTAACTCAGCTCTTTCAGATCCACGTTCAATCTCTTACCAACTGTCTTTCTGGATATAGGTATTGTTGTATTACGACTAAAGTCGAATTTAGGAGTTTGAATTCTTACAACTGAGCTCTACCATACGATCTAGAATATGAAGAAAGAGTGATAGCCCTAAATGCCTTGTAGCCTCCTGCTTATAAGTATGGTGCACAACACACCCATAAACAAGACTCTACTCGACACGGCTTGTAGACTCCCTAGGAAAGAACTGCTCTGATACCACTTTTTTTCACGACCCAAATCGAAGGGGCCGCGACGGGCACCCGGTGCCCTACTCAACCGAGTACCAACGTAACATAACTTTCTTATCATACTATTATGGGTAAATGAGCCAGAAAACCCGTCATGAGATAACAAGAATAAAACATAAGGGAATACTCAACATATGACGACCCAACATGATATACAAACTTATACATGTGACATACGGGCCTATAAGACCGACATAACCATTTGTAAACTCATAATATAGGCCGATAAGGCCATACAAGCATCCATACACCTAACATTTGTCTACAAGCCTCTAAGAGTACATTAAATCATAAAGGTCGGGACTGGGTACCGCCATACCAATCAATACATATCCAAATCATACTGACCAAATAGGCAACTCCGGAGCAAGTGAAGTGCACCAACACCTTCCGTTGAGCTGATAGCCTACTTGGAGGACTGTCAACCTTCAACCGGGACCTGCGGGCATGAAATGCAGCGTCCCCAGGCAAAAGGGACGTCAGTATGAATAAAGTACCGAGTATGTAAAGCAGGAAAACATAAACAAGAACAGTAATGTAAAAAGATATAGAGGAGATACAACCTGTAACATCTGAGTGCCTTGGAGGCTACTGACATGAAATGTATAATACATATATATACATAAACTTTTAAAAACATATGCCTCTGTGGGCATCATCATCATTATATCATACCCGGCCTCAAAGATGACTCAGTAAAAATGTACCCGGCCATTATAAGGCTTNCGGCCATTATAAGGCTCGGTAGAATCATACCCGGCCACGTGGAGCTCGGTAAACCCAACTAATCAGTGGTTGCACAATAGGTGTCATACCCAGCCGACTATAGCGCGGCTCGGTAGAGTAAAATAGATACTATATAAAATGCATGCTAGACTCATGGAATCACTTCTAAACCTTTCAGAGTGACTTAAGGTCGTTGCACCTTCGATTAACATTATGGACATCCATACCCTTAATATGAACCTCAGTAGGATTCAAGGATCATACACACTTGCTTAGAATAACTTTATAAGGAAAGAACAACATGGACAACCTTGGTTGCTAGGAGTAGATCCATTATGAAATAGCGTATTCATTTCACTTTAGATCATGCCAAAAGAAAGAAGAAAGTGCCTTAACATACCTTATTACAATCTTTCCAATCACCAAGTTGAACTCGCCTCTTCGCACCTTAATCTAAAACAATGATAATAATACTATCATCAAGTTATGAAAGGTACAACTATCGCACAACGGACGACAAGCTTATTTTGTATAAAAACGGGCAACATCTCCCCTATAATCCTTATTTCCTCCAAATTCAAGATAACTCCAACAACACAATAACACAACAATAGCAATATATATAAATTATTTTCCAGCCTTATATTACACCATCAAATACTACAAAACAACCCAATACACTCCAATCTTTTCATACATAAAACGACCACTGTACTAGTGTCAAACGACCCGGAAATGTTACGACGAACGACCAACCCACCACCCTACATCTATATGGTGTTTTTCCACACCCTTCCTCCTCAAAAACTCCAAAAATAGTAGTAAAACACGCAGCCTAACAACAACACAAAATAGTCCACAAAACATTCCGCTACAAGTGAATAACTCGAACTCACTGCTTCCGATCACCATCTCGTGAGTTCTTACAAGTATAGAACGACTTACCATGAACTTACAGCAGAAAAAATGGATGAAAGAGAGCAGTAAACTTACCTTATTTGTTGGAGAACTCAACCCTTATCTTGGTTCTTCAAACTCGAGGTTTTACTCCCAATTAGAACTTGAAAGGGAGAGAAAATCAATTAGGGTTTGCAGGTAATTTTTGGGAGGAAGTTTGCAGGGGTTTAGGTCTGGTTATTTGTGATATATAATAAGGTTTATTTTGCAGGAGATAAGCCCTTAAATAGGCTCTTTTGCTTACCCGAAATTGCCTCTTTTTTGGCTCTCATTTAACCAAGTAGGTGACCCACCTACTTGTCACCTAATAGTCTACGCAGTCTAGCAAAACTGCATATATCTCTCTACTCTGATGTCGTATTGATAAACGGTTTAATGCGTTAGAAACTAGACTCGTAGATCTTCAATTTGATATGTAGATCATTCTTTGATTCCAAGTATATTGAGAGAAAAATGTAGCTACATTTGACCAAAATTTCAGCACATTATGAATGCAACTTGTGATGACCTTTGCCAACTTTTGTTCCACAACTTGCTTGACTTAAAAACATAACACACGACTCTCATACGACTAAAATAACTCATAATTTAACCTCCTTATGATGTTAATCACCCTAGTCTCACCCCAAAAGTATATGTTATACCATTCCAAACTTGTCGACTTTCGACGAAACTTATTTTCTTCAATTGGTTTAGCTTCTAAGCTTTCCAACCCTCTTGGTACTCGTTATTCATGATCTTAAATATTTGTAACCTCCAAGGTAACATGATTAACTTACTTTATTTACTTTCAAATATAATCTCATTTCCGAGCTTACATCAATGGCTTGGGGTGTAACATATTGATATTCAACGTACCATGGACGAAGATCACCATAAATATTTAGATAAAAAGAAAGGCGAGATAAGACTTCCATAAAAATCTCTAGCGATTTGAATATAAACAAAAAAAATAATGAAGGAGAACAAGGAAAAGAAGCGAAACAGTAGGAAAAAAGAATAAAGAAAAAAGAAAAAAGAAAAAAGAAGGAATGATGGGAAGGGAAAAAAATGTTAGAAGTAGGTCTTTAATACTAGGCTACGGAATGATTTTTTTTTTCAAGTTATATACAAAGTGGACTAAAATTGGATAATAAGGTAAAATATGAGCCAATTTTGATAGCAATATTGTCCCAACTCATATTCAAGATAAATTTTTCTTTAAAAAAAAAATTAATTTCAACTGATAATAAGTGATATGGGTAATACCCGCAAAGTGACCCAAGAAGAATTGAATTAGCGCATAGGATAATACATATTATATATTATATTATATTATGTATAAATAATAGTATTAGCAAAGACATGGGGGCAGCGAAGATCTGGAACGCCATGGAAGTAGCAGAGGGAGCTCGCCACAGCGTTTCCTCCAAGATTCCATCTTCGCGCCTCACCGTCGATCACTCTCTCTCTATTCCTCTAATGAAGCCTAAAATCGTGTACGTTTTCGAAAAGTTTATTTTGTGCACATTTTCGTGGCTTTAGATCGGTTTTATATCCTTTTATGTTTCACCGGAGCTCATTAGCTGTATTTCAGGAAATATGATTCTAATTAGGTCCGCATCCTTAGGTTAAGAATTTTAGGTCGTCTACGCCACGCAAGATTGTTCGATATTGCCGTTATTAAAACGAAGAGAAAAAGGTCGAGAATTAAGATCGTCTATGTTGGTGTTGAAGTTTGATATTTGCTTTTGAGGCAGAAAGTCTTGTGAAGCTGAAGAAAAAGTTAATCAAGGTCTAGCGTTAATATCTTTCTATATTTAGTACTAATAAAATACTCCATCTCTCTCAAATTTTTGGGTACTATTTCAGTTTTGTATGTCCCAAAGTGGTTGATACCTTTCTGTATTTAGTACTAACAAATAATTTTTTTGCTTTTCCATTTTGCTATTGGCATAAATTGTTGTAAGCGCTGCTAGATACAAACTAAGGTTGCTAAAGGGTTTGTATTTATTTATGTTAATGTATGTGCAGAAGTCTTGTTCTGTTTTTTTTAACTGCGTGTCCAATTAAACCATGCCAAACAAATAGAGACGGACGGAGTAGCAGGATTGATGGAGGTCTTGTTAATTTCTTTCACTTTAAGAAAAGTTTAATATGAGTTGGATTGATATATCGGTTACAGATGTTATGGTCAATTAACATTAACTTTCTGTGACCAGTATAAAATGGTTGACTTTATCTAAGCCAGTATAAGGTTATTGTTCTCTTCAGTCTGTTATTGACACATAACACTGTTAGATATGATATATAAACTTCATGATACTACATGTTGAAGTGATATTTTATCATTTCGGGAGTAGATTTTTCATTATAAATCCTCATTTATGGTTTGAAAACCAGAATTCTAAGTGTTGGATGTATAAAATCAGTATTTGCTTATTTTGAAGTATTTCACTTGCTCCAAGAGCATCACACACCATTTTATCAATATATTGGAATCTGTTACCTTCTCAGAAAGAAATATTAGTGGAATGTTAATAATTTTAGCAAGCTTATACTATTAGCTATGAGTACATAACTTTATCTATTTTACTTAGCTTTAAAGGACTTATTATTCAAGGGTAGATTTTTGGTTTGAGAAGAATCAAAACACAAGATTATTCTCTTTTAGCGGCTTCTAGTTATGCCTCCAAGGGGGTGGTCTAGCAATCTGTGAGTTGGAAACAACCTGGGTAACCTAGGATCGAATCCTAGTGGAGGTGGCTCTAGGTGAATTCTTTCCATTTGTCTAAGCCATACATGGTAAATTACCTGCCACATGCGTTGTTAGGAGGCAGCAAGTGGTATCCACTGAACTAGTCTAGGTGCATAAGCTTGTATGGCCACCACTATGATATCTGTATGTGAAATTAAATGGTATATAGTTAACAGGCTGATGAAACAGGTATCTAAAGTGGATGCACTCTATATTTCTTCCCACACCACACTCAAACGTATATATAATACATAGGCCTGCACCTGTATATTGAGACTGATTGTTGTTCAGCCTCTTCTGTTTCTGAACTTGGTTGGAAACTGTGCAGAGAACTGTGCAAGGACCTGTTCAACCAGTGGTTAGATCTGGATGATTCTCACTTCTCTGTTGAGACAGTGTCTGGTGGCATCACAAATCTATGTGCGTATTTATTTTGTTAGAATTTGCTATTTGTAAGCATTCGTTTTCATTCCAAACTTATCATGCTAAAATTAAGTGCAGTTTGTAGTTTCCTATGAAAAAACTGATTCTTACTTTCAAAATCCTTATTGCTCGAAAAATTGTAAGACTTAACATATCAGTTAAGACTGTAGTATGTCCTAACAATACTCTATTTCCTTATGCAGTGCTAAAAGTATCTGTAAGAGAAGATAAAGGAAAGAATGGCAATATGACAATTAGGTTATATGGTCCTAATACTGAATATGTCATTAACCGTGAACGAGAATTACAGGTTAGTTTCTGAGGCTTCTATTGATTATATTGTTCCGTGCATTATTCCTATCATATGGAGAACTAACAGCTGACTTTTGAGTAACTTAAGTTAACCGTACTTGGATGACCTTTATTTCATTTTAAACTACAAGGATATTTGATCTGTCAAACTGGTGTTGCTTCATAAACTTCTGCTGATCTCCTCTAACCTGTAAGTATGATTGCTACCAGGAAGAGTATGCAGTAGACCTCACATGGAAGTCTTGTACTCCCAGTGTGCAAATAAGCTTGTCAACCTCCGAATCATTTTGAAAACTACTCCCTCTATCTTAAAAAAGAAGAAAGGTTTTCAGAGTACAATTCAAAGTATTTTACTGTTGGTATAGACATCGATTCCTTGATTACTTTTGAAATAAAGTGTCCATATCCAAAGACTACATAAAAGTGCTATAAATAATTTTTATTTAAGACTCCCATTTCGAAAAAAATTTATTTTTATTTAAGACTACATTTATACACAAAAACAACAAACCCAATATATTCCCACAAGTCGGGAAAAGAGGGATGCAACACGAGGACTTCTGGGGGGTCTATCGTACTTAGCCTTACCCAACCTTACCCTGCATTTTTGCAAGAAACAAACCCAGTATAAACTACATTTATAATGTTCGAAAACTATAAGCTAAGAAAAAATTGTTTACGCTCCAAATAGTAATAATGTAATAGAAGATGGAACAACTGGAGTATCTTATTTTGTCAAGTTAATTGGGCAGCACACCTTGGTTTTGCACTTTGGATTATGTATTGTTCAAGGTAAGGGGGACAAGAAGGGATGGAACTGGTTCAGTTATTTCATTCAGAGAAAGTATTTTTGACAAACAACTCCAAGTATCTGAGCACATTTATATCACGAAATCTACATGTCAATACCTAATTGTAATTTTTTTTCTCAATAACTAGTTTCAGACTACACGCGTTGTGCGTGTACTCATAATAATGACTATAAATTTTTTAAATTATACAAAAAATTATTGAACTATGTGATTGAGTTATAAAATACTTTCAAATACGCATAAGCTTTTGAAAATGATAAATATTGGTCACATTTAACCAATTAATAAAGAAAAAAAATATGTCATACAAAAGCATTCAAATGCCTTATCATACCTTCGATATATTAGTTGTGCATTTCCTTGAGTAGCTTAGACAAAATAGAATAATATGTTAACTTGTACAGTTGTACTCAATATCATGCAACGACATTATATTTTTTATGGCCTTAAAAAATGAATTCTATTTGCTCCATTATAATAAGAATTTCATTTTATTCCTATTGGAACTCAAATTAGAAAATACGAAAAACAAAAAGAGACTCTATATTGTGAGGCTTAGTTATCATATAAGAAATTTAATTGGAGTTAGTCGATGACTCCTTCATATTTATTAGGAGTATCAAGTATAATAGGTTCATGTTTCTTCCTTATTATCAACCTCTATATGTTTTGTTAAATTTGGATAATTTAATCTAACAAAATTTTCTTATGGGTTAATTTAGAATTAATTGAGTGGAGGGTGCCTATAATTGATCCTTTTTTGCTGCATGAACTTCAACAACAAATAAGAAAAGTCCTCTTGGTTTGTATTTAACATTAAATAGTTTAATAACTTCTCTCCTTCTCTCTTCATTCATTGCAATGGTACGATAAAAATTTGACAAAATTATGAAAAAGACTCATTGACCGCAAACCAAAATCCAGAAGAGGTATTTATTTAAAATTTTATTTCGCCTGATATTTCCTTTTTGCTTACCAGAATAGCCAATAAGCCTGTGGTGAAATTAGACTTATAAAGATATTGAACAAAGTTAGAGTTTTATTATCTTTAAGTTTGAGTTTAAGAATTATTAAATTGTTTCTAACAAAATAAAATAAGTTAAAGACTTGAAAATAAAAACTTCCCTAACGATACCAAAAATGTTTAGAATAAACTTGGAAACTTAGGAGGGTTCAAGAAAAACCCTAAATATTAGGACTTTTTACATAGTTTAAATAAGGAAGAATTTAATACCAAAAATTTAATTGATTTTAAAGTCCTAAATATTAGGAAAATAACTTAAATTACAAGTTTGTCCTATGTGAAATTTATTTTTAAAGGGTAAAAAGGCGAACGATATTTTGCTAAAGGGCATCATGCTTTTAATATAGTATAGATTATTGTCAAACCCTTGTGGTCCGATCCTTCCCCGGACTCTGCGCATAGCGGAAGCTTAGTGCATCGGGCTGCCCTTTATAGATTATTGTCAGAACTTGTACATATATCATTCTTCAGATTTTATGTAAGAAGGCGGTGAAGTCGGCTGTTTGATTCTAAATGTTCTGATTGATCTTATGCAGGTTTAATTTTCTCCTTCAAATATATTTCTTGTTAGATTTTGACTACTTTGTGCTAAACTTATTGTGATCAGTTAATACATTATTTCTTGCATAAGTTTAGCCCATAATTCCGCATCTTCGTTGGTGAAATCTGTATTTTTAGTGTATGTCTCTATTGAACTTTGAACTTAGAAGTTTTGTTGATTCAGTTCTTGTAACTACGACCATCTCCATGAATCATACACACTTTTATGGGATGTCTCCTAGGGGACATGGCGCATACACACTTTATGACTTTAAGTACTTGTCTTTAGGCGATTCAATACCTCTCAGCTGCTGGGTTTGGTGCCAAGTTGCTAGGAGTTTTTGGGAATGGCATGGTTCAGTCATTTATTGATGCACGAACTTTAACGCCCTCAGGTAGGCATTTAATCAAACTCCCGCTTGTAGCTTATATGTAGCATGTAGTGCACACTATGCATGGTTTAGTGTAAATGACTTTTGGCTACAACAACAACAACAACGTATCCAGTATAATCCCACAAAGACCCAAATAGGGTCTGGGAAGGGTAGAATGTACGCAGACCTTACCCTGACTTTTGGAAGGTAGAGATGCAATTTCTGATAGACCCCCAGCTCAAAGAAAAATTAAAAGAGGCAGAAATAACAAGTGGTAACAACATCAAGAATAAAGAGATAAGGTGATAGAATAATCAAAACGAATGAAACAACATATGTCAAAAGAAATGTGCGGATAGAAAGCTGCGAACATATGAGACTAATATTAATGTTATGGCATGAAAAGGAGACACGCATGCCTATCTACTAACTTTCTACCCTAGTTGCCAACCTCCACACCCCCTATCAAAGGTCCTCAGTAAGCTGGAGCAATTTCATGTCATGCCTAATCGCCGCTCCCAAATACTTTTTAGGCCTACCTTTATCTCTCCTCAGCCCCATTATGACCAACCTGTCACCCCTTCTCACTGGGGCATCTCTGCACTTCCTCTTCACATGTCCGTAACATTTCAGCCTTGCTTCACACATCTTGTCTTCCATGGGGGCCACTCCCACCTTGTCCCGAATATCTTTATTCCTAATCTTATCTCTCCTAGTATGTCCACACACAACCTCCTCATTTTTGCTACTTTCATCTTCTAGACATGTGTGTTCTTGATAGGCCAACATTTCGCCCCATACAATATAGTCGGTCTAACCACCATTATGTAGAATTTACCTTTTAGTCCAGGTGGCACCTTCTCACATAGAATTTTGGAAGCTAGCCTCCATTTCATCCACGCCGCTCCGGTCCAATGTGTGACATCCTTGTCCATCTCTCAATTACCTTGGATAATAGAACCGAGGTACTTGAAACTACCTTTCTTAGGGATGACTTGTGAACCTAGCCTCACTTCCACGTCCTCTTCAGGAGTGACGTTGCTAAACTTGCTATCCAAGTGATACGTTTTAGTCGTGCTCAACTTGAAACCTTTTGACTAAAGGGTTTGTCTCCAAACCTCCAGCCTCCTGTTAACACTACTTCGCATCTCGTCAATCATTACTATATCATCCGCAAATAACATGTACTATGGCACCTCCCTTGAATGTGCCGCATCAGAACATCTATCACCAAGGCAAATAAAACGGGCTAAGTGCGGATCCCTGATGCAATCCCATTATGATTGCACCCCTCTCACCGTCCTAACTCCGATCATAACGCCATCATACATGTGTTGGATCACTCTAATATATGCTATAAGCATCCCTCTAGCCTCCAAACTTCTCCAAAGAACCTTCCTCGGAAGTTTATCATAAGTTTTCTCTAGGTCAAAGAACACCATGTGCAAATCCCTCTTCCTATCCCTATATTGCTCCACAAGTCTCCTAATAAGGTGAATGGCTTTGGTAGTCGAATGCCCTGTATGAATCCGAACTGGTTCTCGAAAATAGGTACATATCTCCTTACTTTTACCTCCACCACCCTCTCCCAAATTTTCACAATGTGACTTAGCAGCTTGATTTCCCTATAGTTGTTTCAATTTTTGATATCACCCTTATTTTTGTATATCGAAACCATCCTACTCCACCTCCATTCTTTAGGCATCTTAGTCGTCTTATAAATGACATTAAACAACCTAGTAAGTCACTCCAAGCCTGTTATGTCCGCGTTTTTCCAAACCCCTGCCCATCTTGTGCATAGCCCCCACAACCTGTTCAACCTTGATACGTCTGCAATACCCAAAATCTCGACTACTCTCAGAATGCTCCAAGTCCCCCAACACAATATTCCTATCCTCCTCTTTGTTCAAGAGTCCATGAAAGTACGCTTGCCATCTTCGTCTAATGTGTGCTTCATCCGCCAAAACATTGCCATCCTTGTCTTTGATGCACTTCATTTGGCCTAGGTCACGGGCCTTCCTCTCCCTCACCTTGGCTAGCCTGTGCAACTTCTTGTCCCTGCCTTTGACAAGTCCTTCGTACAAACGTCCAAACGCCGGAGTCTTAGCCTCCGTAATGGCAAAATTCGCCTCCTTTTTAGCCTTATACCCGTCCCTATTCATACTCCTCTCCTCCTCGTCTTCGGCTACTCCGACTTTAATTTTCCGTTGTGATAAGTTCATGTGTTTACCTTTCCTATTCAGAATTATTTAGGGCTAGCATCAGAAGATCTGGGAAGAACTTTTTGAAAAACAAAACTAAAAAGTACACTATATTTTTTTTTTCTTAGAAAACAAATGCCAGAAAAAACAATTACCCTAAGTGTCTAGAGAATCTTCTGTGAATTGTAGTAGAGTTTCTGCACCCTTTACTATTTCTGAATTGCGCCAGAAAGCTATCAACATGATGCAGTCAGATCTGACTTTAAAAATAGTGTTTCTTGTCATTCGAATCATCTTCTATTGCTTTCTTTCCAAATGCACCACCTAATGCAAGCAGGTATTGGTGTTCCAAGTAGTGCTCAGTCAGCCCCTTCCTCTCCAGCTCAAAATAAATTCTGAAACTGTTCTCGGCATAACCAAATCCGTCCCAAAAGATTAAAAAGACATCGCCAAACCTGGGAAGAAAGAATAGTGAAGGAAAAAATGATTGTTTGATTCTGATTCTTCTCCATAGATGTAAAATCGGTTGACTAATTGTATCCCCCTTCTTTGTAAATTATTTTGAGCCAAGCAATGATTCTTTAGTTACTAGCGTCACAAATCACATCATTTTGACTGGTGCATCGGTTTTCCATACCTTCTTCCATGGTCCCCGAGTAATTTGATTGCTTCTTCTGAGAAGTATGCTGTAGCATGAACTAACTGTAAAGGAATCATTTGCCTGGCCCTTCCAAATTAGTTGATCTTCATAGCTAAAACCTTGGAATATAGATAAAAAGTTGAAAAAAATTCTTCAATCACTCTAATTATTTAGTCATTAAATTTTCTTCTAAAAGTGATGTTCCAAGTGTTGCCCTCCCTTCTTTGTGATAGTGTAATATTGGTGTCCTGTCTAAAATTTATAAAGAGTGAGAAACTGATCCCTAAAGGGAGAGTGCCCTCGCAATTATCTTGCTGGAAGGAGACTTTTCTTCAATTGCCTATCTTGACTCCTATATTATGAGAAATTTTTTGCTATAGAGCTCTAACATTTCTCTGCACACCTATTCCTTCTGGTGGGCCCATTTTGAACACTGCACGTTCTCTTGATCAAACTTCAGTATTTATAACCTTCCACCATAGAGCATTGTCTTCACCATTAAATCTCCAATGCCATTTCATCAAAAGGCTCCTGTTCTGTACTAATAATTTCTTGATGCGCAACCCTCCTTTCTTTACATTGATAATGCTCCACTTGACCAAGTTCCTCTCTGTTGCCTTGCCATAAGAAACCTCTCCTTAACTTGCCAATTCTCTTTTCTACCTTAACAGGCATTGGGAACAGACATAATTTCTGTTGGCATTGAATCCAATACACTATTAAAAAGAATCAAGTGTCCTCCTAGAGAAAGGTATTGTTTCTTCCAGTTGGATAATCTCTTTTCACATCTTTCCACCACCTCCTAATATATAGATTCTGACTTATGCTTTTCTGTTCGACAGTCAAGAATAGCTGCCAGGCCTTGTAAATCTTGCACTGAGTTGACTGGTAGTAGTTGATTTTTTTTTGGACCCAATTAACATGAAGTCTTTTGGACAGCCTCGAAACATTCAGAATCAATCTCAAGTACTTTATTTGACATGCTGCTGGTTCAGGAGAAGTGTGACTATCATCCGCACACTGAAGATGTGAAATGGATAGTACACGTTGTTGCCCTCTGTTCACATTGAAGTCCTTGAACAATCTTTCATTAACAGAAAACACAACATTCTACAAGTACACTATATTCTACTAGGTCGAACTCTCAATGTCAATTGTTCCAAAGGTTCTTGAGAAACAGAATACTTACTATTTATAGACCTCACAGAACCATAATTTAAAGAAATATATATTGAAGGAACTTCCTAAGTAGTTAAATTTGTTGAAGAGTGAAAGTGAAATAATTTATAGTTTCCAAACCTTCTTCATTCTATGCTGTGGTGTTCCCTATTGGTTTTCATTTTATGTAAAGAGAACTTCATGTATTTAGTCAAACCTTCAAAAGCAAATTTATTCCCTTCGGTTTAAGGTTTGATTTTCGGATGCTCTAGCTTCTTTTATACAAACAATCATCTAATAAAGAGTTCCCTTTTTTGATATAAATTATTTATTGATGTTATGGGGAAAACCCTGTATACTAGTTATTTACAAAAGTAAAAACCTACAGAAAAAGAATATTCTCTATGAATGAAGCCTAATTATCAATACTGACAGAACTTTGTGGTTGCACCAAAAATGGACCAAAAATAAAAGATATGCCCTACACTGTACTAGCTCATTTCCACCTCTTCAAATGTTCTCTTTTCCTCTCCCTCCAAAGAATCCACATAAGGGCTGAAGGAGCTACATCTGGTAATAAATACTCCATACCATATGCTTGACATATTCTGTCCACGTTTCATGCTGTAGTAGTTGTTAGATCTCTTAAAGAATGTAATATTATTTGGTCCAATTTGAAGAAATAGAAAGATGCTTATTGCATAGGCTGGTATTGCTTTTATAACCAGCAACCAAAATGTGCATAAAAGATATGTAGTCTTTCGAGATAGTTAATTATCCTAAGCCTGTCTTTTTTGACCAGCCATCTTCATTTGTACAACCCTGTACTCTTCAAGATTCATCTCTCTTTGCCTGATCAACATCGTCACTTCGTCATCTTTCTGTGTCTGCCTCTCTTCTTCTTCTGAAGTAGTTTAATAGAAAAGAAGGCTGCGTTATGAATCCTATAAAACTTATGAACGGACTAGGTTGAGAAGAGCGCTTTAGAAAGGAAAGTTTTATAAGCCCGTGCGGCAGGACTAGAATACAAAAGTTGCCTTTTAAGTCATTTTGCAAGAGCTTTTGTTTGGCCTGTTGCACTTATGTGTTACTTTATGTGTATCTTGGGGTTGTCGAAATAATTTTCTGGCCCTCGGTTTTTCAGGGATACCTACAGTTTTCACTTCCCCCAACCTCAGTAGTTATTATAATTTGCAAATTGGTTGTCATTTTCTTGTAACTTCTTCACAGACATGAGAAATCCTAAGCTTGCTGCTGAAATAGCAAAGCAACTTCGAAAGTTCCATCAGGTGGAAATTCCAGGCTCCAAAGAACCTCAACTTTGGAATGATGTGCTCAAGTTCTTCAGAAAAGGTATGTCCTTCTTTACTGAACACTCCTTTACAAATATATATTCTGAGACATCATTTTTCCCAGTAGTCTCAATAACTGGAAAGCTTGTATCAGATTAACTGCTACCATGCAAGATCCATCTCATGCCTGAGCGTGTTTCCATTTTGCAGCATCAACTCTCCAATTTGATGATGGTGAGAAGAAGTCAAAGTATGAGACAATTTTGTTCCAGGAAGTTCATAATGAAATCACATCGCTCAAGGTAGTTCAAATTCCGAAGATCCTGCAGTTGGTTATTATTCTTTTTATTATTTGCTGTTACTTGGGGGAGGGGATTCTTTCTTTCTCTTCTTCATAACAGTGCAAATTTCAATCCTATAAGGAATTAAATTTTTTCGTGATCTGTATTATATCAGTTTGCTTTCACAGATATGCTAGTTTGAAACCATAAGCTAGCAATTTTCCGTTCACTCCCTTTTGGGGAAATCAATAGCGCTATAAGATGCCCAGTGCATCACTTTCTGAAGTCAACTATTGTTTTTTTTCTTTTTATCTCCTGAAGGGATCTAGGCATCTCCTATGGCAGCTACGACATTATGAACTTCAAAGATGTTTTTAGGTGTAGATTTATCTCCCATCATGCTTTGGTGCCGACTGCTTCAAATTGAATGACTTTGTATATATTTCCATCTTACATCTATCTTGTTGTTAAGCACTTCCAAAAGCTGGCACAGATCAAATGTTGTAGGTTTCTAAGTTAAGAGAACTAATTTTCCAAATAGGGTGTATATTTCTTGGCTTGTCTTACATCCCCAAAATTGTAAAATAGTTTTGAACTTAATAAACCTGATATATATGGAAGTTAACTTGAGGAGTTTTCTTTATGATTAAATTTATCTGCTTAAATACTTACATTGACGTAACACCGATGATAAAACAAAGTGTAATTTGGTATTGGGCTAGAATGGCATTGTATTAAAATAGCTTTGTATTGGATGATATATTCTTATGTTTCAAAAGTGATGTGCAATTCTGGAACAGGAATTGACTAACCGTCTTAACGCCCCAGTGGTTTTTGCCCACAATGACTTACTTTCTGGAAATCTGATGCTTAATGAGGATAAAGGTACTTATGATCCAGCTTTCCACTGTATTTACATCTTGATCTAGGTGATTTTTTCTGTTGTGACATTTTGTGTTAGAACTTCCTTTGTTCTCCCGCACTCTCCCCCCTCTCATGATAAAATTCTGAACCTCCATATGCTTTTCCGTCCATTGGAGAAGAAAACCCTATCTATATGACGTTTTTTGTTTATGCACATTGCAGACATCTTATTTGGTGATACTTCTGTTAATGTTTATGCCTACATGATCATATTTCTGGTCACTATTGCTTGTTCGTCTTTCTCAAGGTCATTTCTTTAGTAAGAGAACTAATTTTCTCCAATGCGAATCTTATACTCTTATGTTATAGACGCAGCATGAGTCTTTCAATGGATTACCGGGTCACTCCTGCTTCCATTTATGCGTTTCATTTGACAAATGATTAATATCATCAAGTAAATAGTCTATCCCATTAAGAAATATGTATGAAGGATCTTTTAAGTCTTTAACCTGGTTTCTAGGATTGCATCAAATGGTTTGCATTTCTAAATTTGATGTTGGTGTCTGTTATCATACTGGAATAATGCTTGATGAGTTTGCTCTTAGTTACGATTCAACGCTGAACTTTACTGTTTGTACTAACCTCATTTCTTTTTATCAAAAAACAGGAAAGCTGTATTTCATTGATTTTGAGTATGGATCCTACAATTATAGGGGTTTTGACCTAGGGAATCACTTCAATGAATATGCTGGCTATGACTGTGATTACAGCTTGTATGTTGCATCTCCGTCTCTCTATATCTTTTTCTCTATGTCCTCCAGTCCCCTTTTTTGTCCTCTTTTTTATGGTGATATTTTGTTGTAAATTGAGACTAATTTTGGAGATGGTTCAATGTGTAGATATCCAAGTAAGGATGAGCAGTTTCATTTCTTCAAGCACTATTTGGATCCTGACCAACCGAATGAGGTAAATGGGGAATGTTAAAACTTCTTANCCCCAAAAAAAAATTTCAGAAACATTCGAAAGGCTACAGAGGATGTTATAATATAGCAAAAGTGATGGAGAAGTTCCATGGTTGGAAAGCTTGTGCAAAACAATCTCGGAGAAAGCCTTATCTAATTGACCAGAAATGAAGGTTTTATGACAGCGTCATAATTTAGCGTCCTACAAGTTTGAAAGACTTTCTTCTAATCAAGTTCGGAAGAATTAGTTTTCTTTCATCAGAGATCTTTACATGTCACCTAGTGATGTTTGTAAAATAATACTCTTAATGCATCTTTTACTCCCAAGAGCTAAAAGAGGGCAGCCCGGTGCACTAAGCTCCCGCTATGCGGGGGGTCCGGGGAAGGGCCGGACCACAAGGGTCTATTGTACGCTTACTCCCAAGAGCTACTCTTCAATAATTTGCAAATGTTGCACATTTGGCAAAGTACACCTGAAGTTGCCTTTGATTACAGGTATCTGACAAGGACCTTGAAGCTTTATATGCTGAGACCAGTAGTTACATGCTTGCTTCACACCTATACTGGGCTCTCTGGGCTTTGATCCAGGTACTATTATTATGCTATATTTGGATGCAGGCCAAAGAACATGCAAAGGAAACCTTACATTTTGTTCTATTTTATTTTTGCTACTCCCAGGCGAAAATGTCACCCATCGATTTTGATTACATCAGTTATTTCTTCCTGCGCTATAATGAGTACAAGAAGCAGAAGGAAAACTGTTTCTCTTTAGCCAAGTCGTATCTTTCAAAGCCCGAGCATGGTTAAAGTTTCATTTAGCACAGTTCCAGAAACTCTTAAAAGCTGTCAATTGACATATTTAGATCTCATTTGTTGCAAATTGGAAATTGTTGCTGCTGTAGCCAAGTAGGATAGTGCAAAATAATTCTTTTTTCGTTTCTATTTCTGCCAAAATCATGTAAAAGTTAACTGTTGTTTGTAATTCAAAGTTCGAACAAAGGGATACTATGACAAACAAATGAAGTACAATTCTTTCTCCGCAATTTCCGTATTTCTCCGTATTAGTGCTTGGTAATTCAGCATGATTAAATTTACAGATTGAACAACCCCCCTTCCCTCACCGGAAAAAAGTTAAACAGAAACTGCTATTCTTTAACCTGAATGGAACATGATAATTGTAGATGACTGTTGTGTCATGACCTGCCACATCATCATGCCACGTAGGTGCCACTTGGCATATATTTTTGCCATATTGAATGGTTATATAAGTTAGGGACAAGATCTTGGTGGAATATTCTAGAACTATGGAGAATTTCCTTAGAAAATTTCTAGATAATTATGTATTTGTAGGAAGGTTCTAGAAAAATATAGAGGTTTCCTTAGGAAGACCCTAGAACCCTATAGAATTGTTAGGAAAGACCTTAGAAGAATTTAGCTGTATAGAATATTCTAGAGAAGGGACTTAGTTGTAAATATGAAAGGACTTGTAAAACAATTATAATTTACATACTAGCCCCTAGGAGATTAGTATAAATAGGGAGCATTCATTTGTAATTCATCAACCAAGCAAAACAATCAAGTTCTCTCTAATACAAAAGCTTCCTTTGTCAATTCTCATGTGTTCTAACATTTCTTAGCGATCATGAGTGTAGTAGGGCTGACTTGACATAGCAAGAACATGAGCAAGTTATGCAAGATCGTGAGTGAGTTGCCAAGTGACGCACGTGCACTTAGTTTAAGACTAAGGACGTGACAACGTGGTATCAGAGCAAAGGTTATAACTAAGGAATGTTAGTAAGAATACAAGAGATTGCTATAAGTAAGTTTTGTAGAGAACCATGGTCGGAATTACCAAGGGCTTGGTACTTGCAGAAGGGACCAACGTGAAGGTCCCTAAGCGAAAGCAGTATGGCGGTGCACGGGATGCACGGGAGGTAGCAGACTGGTGGAAGCTAAGGGAGCTCCGACAGAGGCCACAATTCTGGAGTATGTGCGCGAGTTCACTACCTTAAGCTGTAGATCTCGTCATTGTCCGAGGAAGATTTCCTCTTCTACTTCATGGACAGGTTGCAAAATTGGGCAAAGCAGGAGTTAAAAAGACATCAAATAGCCAATGTGAACGGGGCCATCGGAGTAGCCTAGTCACTTGTTACTTCAAGATGGAGCCTGCCAAGTCCAAAGAAGGCAACGCCGAGAGGGATGAGGGAGATCATGATGAGGACAACGAGAAATGCATAGCCGAGGTATACAAGGGTAATGGCAAGGGGACATCCCATAACGAATAGGGGTCCAAGAGAAACGGCAAGGGGCAGGGAAAATGGTAGGGAGTACGTGCCTAAATGAGGGTGCTACTTCTGTGAAGGATCACATCGGGCAAGTGAATGCTCAGAGTTGGGGAAGCTTGCAGCAATGATCGGGAACTTTGCTCAAGCACATAAGGGTGACATAGGAGAAACTGCAAGGATGGCGAGCTACAAAGTGATGGTATGCTATCGGACTCAGATGATGCACCAAGCAGTGGGGTTCAAGTTTGCCAGTAAGGATGGACCACGGAAGGCAGCCAAATAGGGAGTGAAAGCATGGACTCGATGCTTGAGAAGCTGCTAGACTTGGTTGAGTCATGGGAAGATTCAGGCCAAGAGCAAGGAGGGGCATCCGATGGGCGGAGGATGGAGGCCATCATTGCTAGCCGTCCAAAATACAAACAGCGTAAGAAGAAAGGTAGCCAGTACCTTGTGAAATAGGAAGGAGAACTGCTTCATAGGGCATCATGGCTAATGGACAAAGATTTCCGATGATGCCAAGGCGATGTGCGCGCGTACGTGTCGATGTTTTGTGCCGAGGGCGGCACAAAATTGGGTGGGGGGAGAGTATCATGACCCGCCACATCATCTTGCCACGTAGGTGCCACTTGGCATATATTTTTGTCATATGGAATGGTTACATAAGTTAGGGACAAGATCTTGGTGGAATATTCTAGAACTATGGAGAATTTCCTTAGAAAAGTTCTAGATATTTATGCATTTGTAGGAAGGTTCTAGAGAAATATAGAGGTTTTCTTAGGAAGACCCTAGAACCCTATAGAATTGTTAGGAAAATCCTTAGAAGAATCTAGTTATATAGAATATTCTAGAGAAGGGACTTAGTTGTAAATATGAAAGGACTTGTAGAACAATTATAATTTACATACTAGCCCCTAGGTGATTAGTATAAGGGGGCATTCATTTGTAATTCATCAACCAAGCAAAACAATCAAGTTCTCTCTAATATAAAAGTTTCCTTTGGCAATTCTCAAGTGTTCTAACATTCCTTAGCGATCTTGAGTGTACTAAGGCTGACTTGGCATAGCAAGAACGTGAGCAGGGTGTGCAAGATCGTGAGCGAGTTGACAAGTGCCGCACGTGCGCTTAGTTTAAGACTAAGGACGTGACAATTGTCTACTTTATTCTCAAGTATTGTATCTTCTGCTCTACTTACTGTGCAAGAAACTAGGTATAACGTGGAAAAGTAAAAAGAAAAAAGTTACAAAAAATAGTAGATAAAACTGTGAGCATTATTTAAAGCTGATATATCACCGGGTGTTGGTGGAGTATATTTTATTAATAATAAAAATCTCAAAAAGAAGAGTACAAATAAGAGGACTCAACCTTACCTGGCTAGTTTTAATGTGGGGGGAAGTGCACGGTTAGCCACTAATAACACATGTATTTACTTTTAAACCATTGTTTAAAATGTCTTTAGTCTTTAGCCACTGTTTTAATAAACTTTACTTGCCTGGACGAAAACACCCTTCTGCTCATAAAGTTCAGGACCAAGTGTCCTTAACTTTTAAACTTACAACTCTAAGTTCAGGACTTCAGGACTACGTGTCCTTAACTTTTGAACTTGCAACTCTAAGTTCAGGACTATATGTCCTTTACTTTTGAACTTGTAACTCTAAGTTTAGGACCATCTGTCTTTAAGTTCTGTTTTTGTAACTCTAAGTTAAGGACTACTTGTCCTTAACTTTTGAACTTGTATGTCTAAGTTGAAGACCTATTGTCCTTAACTTTGAGCTTGTTAGTCTAAGTTCAGGACTTCAGGACCTATTGTCCTTAACTTTTGAACTTGTAACTGTAAGTTCAGGACCTATTGTCCTTAACTTTTGAGCTTGTTAGTTTAAGTTTAGGACCAAGTGTCCTTAACTTTTGAACTTGTAATTCTAAGTTCAGGGGTGTTGGTTATGTCTATGGCGGTTATCTCCAATTCCTTCGCTAGCTGAAATGGACTACAAAAGGTTTTCCTTTTTTGTTTCTGTTTAATTTCATTTTTTTGTGAACGTATATTGATGTGGAGAATAGTAGTTTACAAATATGTTTGTAGTTCTAACTGAGTATTTTGATGTGGGGTTCACTTTTCTAGAAAAAGAAAATGCAAGTTTTGTTGTTTATATTGTGTTTCTTCTTAAAACAATAAACTTCTCACAGACGGCGGCACAGTTCTTCTCCCTAACATGAAAGAGATAGAAAAAGGGTAACACAACTTTTTCATATTAGTTTTAATAGACTAGTGACTACTATTGCTAAGCATTTTAGGATAAAAAATAAATACCACTTTAAAAAGTGGCTATCCCACGCATTTTTTACTCTAATGTGAGCGCAAGACAAATCTTACCCTTAGCATGCATGTAACTAGGGGTGAAATTCAAAAATAGCCAGATTTACAACTGGTCGTTCAAAAACAGCCCAGTTTCAAAAGTAATCGAAATTTAGCCACTTTTCATGTAAAGATAAATCTGAGCGAAAACACTGTTCAAAACTCGAAAAATATACCAGTATATTATGCTGGAGTTCCAGCATAAGTATACTTGAACTCCAGTATATTATACTGGAGTTCCAAGATAAGTATGCTGAAACTCCAGCATAATATGATGGAGTTCCAGCATAAGTACAATAGAACTCCAGCATAATATACTGGAGTTCCAGCAAGTATACCAATCCAACATAATATACTGGAGCCAGCAAAGTATACCGGTCCAGCATAATATGTTGGAGTTCATACACAGGTGCACCGAACTCTAGTATATTATGCTGGACCGGTCTCTGTTGCAGCAAAATAATGACTATTTTTCATTAACTTGGTAAACGCTGGCTATTTTTGAATGACCAGTCCGAAAACTGGCTATACCGTGCTATTTTTACTGTAACTAGCTGTCAAATATGCTATGTACTCTGGCAATATTACATAGATGCCTCTATGATAATAATATTACATAGATGCTTATATAATGCTATGAAATAAAAACAAAAAAGAGGAATTTGTGAATCAACTTGTGCTTTTTGGTCCTCATTACTAACTTTGTCCCATATCGCACCGAGATACAACACTACAGCTACAAACAACTACAACACAATATAATCTATTGTGCCACGCAACCCGATCCCAACATTTATAACAATATCTGTTGCGACATGCAACTCGATTCCATTATCATTTCACCATATCTGTTGCGGTGGAACCCATTTCCATTATCAATTCATTTCAATACTATTGCGGTGTGCAACCCGTTCCCAATACCAATTCATTAGCATGAACAACTCAAGACAATCCAATTCTGTAATCTCAACACAAAGGAAATAAATCGTATACAACCTCAAGGAACTACATGTACAAATAGAGAATATCCAATATCTCGTATTCACAAACCTCGAAAATCATGAATTGCTAAATGACTCACATAATCGGAATAACATAATGAAGTGCAATGTAAAGACAATAAAAATAGGTAAAAATATGAGACAATGTAGATATACAATTAATACAGGTAGGAACATGTAGAAAGTAACCAGGTATTGAGTGAGGAATGAATAAATCAAAACATGTAGCAATTAAATAACAAATAGAGAGATTCAGAGCTTCCTGGGTTTGGCGGGCTACTATCGTCGGTTCGTGGAGGGGTTTTCATCTATCTCAACCCCATTAACTAAGTTGACTTAGAAAGACACTCTTTTCAAATTGCCTAATGAGTGTGAGGAGAACTTTCAGAAGCTCAAGACTGCCTTGACTACAACC